CCCAATAATGGTTTACATAACTGAAGGTAATATAGTTACTTGAATTTTCTGTAAAGTTCCTGCATGTCCCTGGAAAATGCGTAACACCCCCTTAACATAGGAGGGAATAACTAGGGAATAACTATGTAATTGATGAAACAACATCTCTTCCACAAGGGTTAATCGGCTGGCAATTTAATAAACAGGACATTTTCATTACTATCCGTATTTAGCCTAGTTGTTCAATACAATATAGAGTAGTAGCAATAATAGGTACTAATAAGATAAAAATCTTTCAGTGTTATTATTTTATTAAATATGCACATTTATGTTCTTCTGTTTCTTACCAGTGTCACGGTCTGAGCACAAGGAACGAGGTCGTTCCAAGGAACTTTGTCACCTGTTGTCTCCAGACACGTCTCGCTGTAACTCAGAGGAAAGAAGTTTGCAACCCTCACGTTCCTCCAGCGTAGAACGAGCTCTTCCCCAGGATAAACAGGTGAGTAAAATATACACACCTAGATGCCAAACAACTAAATAAGCAGTTGTTTTAACATTATAAAACTTTTCTGCTACTTTAGCATGTTTCCTTGTATATTGACAGTCTCAATGATATATCTTTACCCAACCAAATCATGTTTGTTGACCAATTTTACTGACCTGTGGGGGACGTATCTAGTATTAGTCATCTTAGTAGCAGTAGCATTCCTAAAAATAGAATCACTTTAAAATTGTTAGGACAAAGACTTGGGAAAGAGAGTCGCTGTATCTTAATGTAAAAAGAAGAAACCCTGTCTTGAAGAAGAAAATGTTATATTATATTATTTTTAAATGTAATCTTTTATTTTTATTGAACTGTATTGTTATTATTTCTGCCATGAGTGGTCACTAATTATATGTATTTGAAGAAAAGGTGATATTATGCTGTGTGAGAAGGAGTAGTTTTATTTTAGAAGCATAACCAGTTATAGACTAAACATTTCAACCGCTTTAGTGCATAGAAAGATGGTTGAAATGTCCTCTTTGGCAGTTTTAGTAAAACTGTTGTTTCCTGAAAGTCTTGCTCTTTCTTTCTCTCTTGCAGCCTAAATGAAACACAAACAGGCCTAACTTTTCAGTTTCCTTTTTGAAAATCAGTCTATATGTCTGTCCTTCTTTTGACTTGATTTTCAAACACCTAAAATAATAATGAAAAATGTTAACTTTAAATTGTTGTACTTCAATAATTACTTCAACAACACCAAAGAGTGTTGCTGTTAATGCAACCTTGTTGCACTTAAGTAATATTTCTCAAGAAAAGATTGTAATTTTTAAGTTTTGATTGGTCAGGGCTTGGAAATTAGCTGATTCCACACATCATATTTCTCTGTACTTCTTTACTCGTAATAACACAGTGCCTTCCAACAAAAGGCCTTCCAGTGCCTTTTATTGTCTTAACATTCAAAACTGTAAACAATTTCACAATTTTTCACTACTTTGTAGAAATGTATCACATTTCTATAGGTCCCGTAAATTGATCTGAATGAAAAGTCAAGAGTAGCTACTGGATTAACTGACTGTATTTTTTCTTATTTCAGGGTAACAGCTCAGACAGCCCAGTACCATCCACCTCAGAGTCCAGCACCCCCAGCGGCCAACGACCTCTCTCACAAACCCCAACCCGTTCTCGCCCTCACATTTCCTATTCCCCTCTTGTGTGTCGCACACAAGCCTCTGTTGGAGAGGATGATGATGAACGAGGCAGCCCAGAGACCACGAGACGGAGCAAGGCCTCATGGGAGCCCCAAGAAGGAGCTGCGGGAGGGAGGAGGAGTCAGCTTGACATAAATGCGTCCCCACCTCGACGCTACCCCTCAGAGCCTTTCCTGGCTTCACAAGAAGACGACCACAGCCCGGATCCCTCTGGTCCCATGGAGACGTTGACCTTCGAGGCGGCCGTGGCTTGCAGCCTGGGACGCAAACACCATTGGCTCGGCCCACCCACGGTGGCGGACCGGCTGGCAGGTCCCCAACGGACACTTTAGGAAGCACCTGATGCAGACGGCCTCCGCTGCAGGCTGTGACCCCCTCAGCGACACAGAGGAGGACGACAGGTGCTAGGGACAGGACACACAGCATGGACGAGGACATCGGCACCCAGAAATGAAAGTCAATGAGTCTCTTTTTTTTGCCTTGTCAAGGTTGGATGTCGGGCAAATACCCAAAATGACAAAGACCTTAATACTTCCTGAAACTGTAGATGCCAACTTACAAAGAACACTGACAATCAATAAGGTCTATTTCCTGATTTGTACTTGATGATACAGAGTAATAATGCATCTCAAGTTGTCACTGAGTAAAGAAAATGACTGGAAACAATGGGCCAGGTCATGCCATTTGTGTCAATAGGAATTTTCATTTCTGAAGATGTTTTTAAAAGATTCTGTGTTGCTCTAAAAGGTATTTATCTGTGGGGTGTGTGAATATGTAACTATGTTTTGTTATAATTTTTCTGTAAATAAATCCTGATCATCTCACCATTGCCATCTATTAGAACAGGTCAATGCAACAAGCCATCATAAAGAGGCAATGTGATACTTTTCCAGGCAATGATATATTAATAATAAGAGACATACTAATAATGCTGGATTTTTTTACTGTATGAATGAATGTGCAGAGGTCAGCTGTCTAATTTCCCCTCTTCATTTTTCTTTTTTGGTATTAAGCATTGTAAGTTCACAAATCTGGGATGTGGTTAAAGTAATAGAATATTATAGAATGATTCGTTTGTGATTTCACTTAATATAATTATTAAATCATGCAATCATCACACCTCAGAACTCTAACTTTGGTCAGTTTTACATAATTTTTAATTGTTAATACCTTTAAAATGAACTTTTTTGGCAAAAAGACTGGCAGAAAACTAACATTGCATATCATGCAGAACAGAAATTTGTCACAGTGAAAAATGAGGAATTGCCTCTCTTCAATTTCTGACCATTAAAGCATCTCAGAACAGTTGAGACTGCGGTTTTACCACATAATGATCACAAAACTGATTTCCATCTATTGTGAAACTTTACAGGTACATCATGACACATTTTGCTTCAAAAAAATACATATTACTCTAATGCATTTGCAAATAATGTACAGAGAAAATATGCTGTTTATAACATTTAAAAAAGGGAAATTGTCTTTGCTGGCAAGCTTTAAAGATGGAACCTTTGGAAATATTCATATAAAGGTTGTGTATTGTTTTATTTGCCTGACAAATAGGTGAAATTATTGAAGCTCTCTTAACCAAAAGATTTTACTTTAAGTTCCAGGAATGCAAATACTCTGTGGGTTTGTATGTGTACAATAGCTGTATATACAAGTAAAGGTGTCCTCAAGTGGCCATTGTTATTTGAAGTCTTGTCATTTTTACCCTTTTATTAGGTCAAGTAATCTCAGACTTGGAGAGTTTCTGCTTATTTTGTTTATCTTTTATCCATATTAATATCAAAGCATTATATTTTGATATAAATATGTAACATAATGTCTACGAAGGAAGTCTATTTGTCGGGGGATATATAGTAATGCATAGAGGGAACTACAGAAAGAAACTTAATTAGTAATATACAAATGCAGACTGTGGCACATATCGATACTAAGAAGAGTATTTCATTGATGGTAAAGAAGAAGAATACGAACTATCCCAAACAAGAGATTTGCTTTTGGTTTAAAATGTTAACAGCATACAAACTATAAGTATAAATATTTAAACTTTTGAGGAAATAAAGGAAAAGACAAAAACAATACGTTCAGATATGTGAATGTACAGCCAATTCTGTTTCTTTTCATAGAGAAAAGTTGTTATAGTTGTCATATGCCTATTTGTCAATGGAGGAACAGACTCATAAAGAGGTAATTTAATACTTTTCAGGCAATGAAAAAGTATCAGCGGCAGTAGTCTCAAACTCAAATGCTCCAGCGCTGGTGTCCTACAACTTTTAGATGTGTCCCTTGTCCTACACACTGGGTTGGCTAAACTGCATGCAGTCAACACTGGAGAGCTCTGCTAGTGAGTTCTGTTGGAGCCAGCGGTGCTGAAGCAGGGAGACAACTGAAAGTTGTAGGACACCGGGCTTTGAGGACTGGAGTTTGAGACCTTAGATGTAACGATTTCATCAGAGAAACATTGTGGGAGAAGTTATGTTGGTGGCAACTGGTTTTGCACAGCTTTGTAGATGTGCCTCAACTGTTTATATACATTCAACATAAAAATACTACAAAGAGAACCTTTTAGATCCGGCCAAGAGTTGTGGTCAAAACCCTTTTTTATCAATAGCTGGAAAGTTTGAGAACTGCTGTATTACAAACCCTCTGTTTACTGAATATTTTTAAAGCTTTTCATAAAATGCCTTCCCTCAGTAAATAATATTTTCTAATCATGACCATACTGTTAGACGGTTTAAGACAGGAATGAGACCTTTTTTCACTTTGATGTGTTGCCTTAAAATAAAATAAAAAGTACACAGTAAGTCAAAAATAGAATTTATTTCTGAGTTATATTTCAGTTTATGGAATTTGATGTGAGCAAACTCTAATGAAAAATTCTCTAAACCTAGAAGACAAAAAGTTTAAGTTGAAACATTTTTAAGCGTTACATATTAAGCATATAGATTACCCATGGGGAATTAAAATAGGTGAGTATTTTTCAACCAACTTCAATGATAGAGATGTGAGAAGAAAAACTAACTTTCTGTCAGATTTAAGTGATTTTGATGGTCCCCAAATTCTCGGACTGAACAATAAAAATCCGAGGACAAAAATAAAATTCTAAGGGGAAACGAGTAAGAATTCTGATGCTATAAATTCTATTTGTAATAAAATAAAATATTTTATTTATTTTCTCCAGTACCTCTAATCTTCTTTCTTAATTATTTAAAATTATTTTGCAAATCCAATCATTTGTAGGCGTTTGTAAGGGGCTGGTCTTGTGTTCCGCTCCAGGACGCCTGATGGCGGTGTTTTCCCAAACAGAAGAAGAAAGGGGAGAGAAGAAACAGCTAGCAAGGAAACAAATTGTTTAATGTTACTCACGAAGTTGAAAGGCGTAAATGTTCTTTGAGTCTGTCACTCAGACAGCTCAGTGGGACATCCAAAGTTGCTTGTGAGCTATATACTGTGTGTAAAGTGGGAGTGTTTAGAAGGAATGAGCGTCACGCATTGAGGAAATCGAGCAGAAAAAGTAGCTATCTGGAGTGCTAACCGCTGTCATCCTCATCAAGGAGAGTTCTTTGTTTTGTTTCTCAGATTTGAGTGATCATGGGACGAAGCTAGTTCATTTTTCACTGTTGCCACTTGACATGTTTGCAGGAGTTGACTAAGCATGACAGGAATGTGATTGTCGATATAAACCTGAGTAGTGAATAATTCCTGGGACTAAACTAATATTAGCCGACCCAGAGCAAGTTTAGCAGCATAGTTGTGATTTTTGACGTCGGCCCTGAAACGGACTGGAGGCACGGAAATATGGGCAACTGTCTGAAGTCCCCAACATCCGACGACATCTCTCTGCTCCACGAGTCCCAGTCAGACAGGGCGAGTTTCGGTGACGGGACAGATCCCGATCTGGAGCCGCCTCCTCCGTACCAGGTGAGGATCTTCAACCGCTCTCTTGTTCCTTTAATAACCTGAGGTTAAAACAATTTAGTAAAGGGTTGGCTAGCACATGTTAACCTGTAGTTATGCTACTATTTGGTTTTCCAGTAATTCTGCAAGCATGGCGTGTTCAGTTTTATGGCCTCATTTGACTTAACTTTTATTCAAAATTAAAAAAAAAATGTATTGCTATTCCCGTAGGGTACATGATTGTAAATATTTCTGTCTGCAATAGCTCTTCTATTTTTCCGTGTCTGCCCTCTCAGTCAGGCCCTAATGGTGTGTTGACAGGTGATTATGTGTTTTTGCTTGTTTGTCTGCCACTAGGAGCAGGCTCACATGCCCATGTACCACCCGACACCCAGTCAGGCCCGTCTGGCCACCCAGCTGACGGAGGAGGAGCAGATCCGCATAGCTCAGCGCATCGGCCTCATCCAGCACCTCCCAAAGGGCGTTTATGATGGAGGACCAGACGGTTCAGAGAAGAAGATCAGAGAGTAAGGATTTAAACTATGTGGAAAAATGGATAGGAGTTGCTAGACGTCACACTTTTGGTTGTGTCTTTTCATACCTTGAAGTTCTGATTTCTACATATTGTGGAAACATGAAGTGTTTTCTTTATGATAAAGGCTTTGGGTGTTTACACAGAAGGTTTAAACAAAATGAAATTAGGTTACACTTATGTTTCTTTTTAAATTAACAGGTTCAAGTTCAGTGGTTATTGGAATTTTATGTCAAAATAAATTCCACCTCTCTTGTTCGTTGTTTATACATTTTTACAAATTATTTATTTATTTTTTTTTTTAATTTAAAGCAAGAATGGAAATATACTAATTTAGCAATCATTGAAGAATAGATAAATAGAAGAAACTCCCTGTATGAATTCAAAGTTTGTTGATTAGATTTTTACTGGTCAATACAGACTTTCAATTTTATCTGAGACCCGACTTTCTGATTCTGATTTTAGGTGATACTGTCACATTCAGTGTCTTAAGGGGATTTACCTTGAATTGTTCACATTTTGTCAAGTTACAAACTTTGAAGTATTTTATTGAAATTTAATAAGTTAGATCTAAACTTAGTAGTTTACATTTCCTTTTGATAATATTTATGTTTACGATGATGCGATTTATCACAAGGATTCCTGTTCTGCAGCCATGTTTGTTGTCTCTTTTAGAGCTACAACAAAATACATTTTGTTGAATTATCACAATATGTTCTCCTAAAATCTTTGGTTTCATTTTCTTTATTTCATTCTTTTTCAGGTGTGTAATCTGTATGCTGGACTTTATTTACGGAGACCCCATTCGGTTTTTGCCATGTATGCACATTTATCATATGGATTGTATAGACGACTGGCTGATGAGATCCTTCACCTGCCCCTCCTGCATGGAGCCTGTGGATGCCGCCCTGCTCTCCACCTACGGACCAACCGACTTCTCTCCCGATGCTTAGCCTGCTGTGGCAAACCCTAAACCTAACAGCTGCCCTCTTGTGGAATGAGAGGAGTTCAGAGATGTATCGTTTACCTTGCACTTTGGAAATTTTAAAACAAATTACTCGCCCAATGTTGGCCTTTCATTCTTCCGAGGTCTGATGCTAATTTAAGCTGGTCTTAAAACATCAGTTACGAGTCAGAAACAGTTTCCCTGCATGATTGTGCTTCTGTGTGTTTGTTTCGCCCAGATTGTGTCGTGTGTAGCAGCAGGTTAAAGAACACATTGAATTGTGATTGTGTGTGTCTGTGTGTGTGTGAGAGAGAGAGAGCTCTGTGGTAAATGAACATTTTCACTTGAGCTGGTCTCACTTCAACATCACTTTGTCACTTGATCACAAAAATGGATTCAAATGAACATATAGTTTACCAAATTACTGACTCTTAAGCTTAGCGATTGGAACATGTTTCTGCAACACTGATCTCCTTAACATGCTCCAACCTGAAATGGGCTTATCCTTCCGTGTGCAAATACTAAGACATGCACTTGTCAAGTCCAGATTCCAAACAATACACAGAAATACAACATAAGTCATTCAGTATAATAGACTGTATATTTGTTACATGAATGTTGCACCAGATGATGTTTAGGTTGTCTGTCAAGGGCTGATTTGTGCATGGACAAGGAGTGGGAGGAGTCAGTCAAACTTTAGAAACGCTTGCACACACCTTTCACCTGATCAGAGATTTGCACTTTACTTATAGGACATTATCTAAAACAGCATATTAATATATTTACCTTGTAACCTTGCACTATCAAAACTTTCTTTTATCTCCTGAGACGCAGGAGTTATATAGCTGATAAGATATTTCCCTACTGTCTGTAGTGAGTAAGCCTGAAGATGCATTTCATAAAATCGATGATCCAGCAGTGTGAACGTCTGTTTTGTTTTTCGTATTTTAATTTAGATTTTTCTCTTTTTTCTGTTTAAGAGAAGGGACAGAGGCTTGCTTGAGGTGAAGGGAGTAGTTTGACACTTTCAGATCAGGAGTTTTCTGATAGTGATGGTGTCGGGTATGTGCTGCAGACAAGTATGTTTTTGTAGCAAACAAATAAAAATGAATATATTGACTTCTCAAAGTATAAAATAAAACAGCAGCTAGATGTTTATTATGATTTTGATTTTTGTTCTTTTTTATTTTTCATCCGTTTTCTTCACTGTGTTCTTTTTAAGTTTGAAGGAGTCTTTTCTTGTGCAGTCAGTCTTCTTCGATATTATTTTAATTGAGATGCACTAATCGACATTTTCCTGACCAATACACATTTGCAGAGTCTTTTGTGTTGCCCTGTGATGAACTTGTGGCCTGTGCAGGGTGTACGCCACCTCTCACCAAATGACCACTAGGGATAGACAGGAGCTATTTGTTTTGAGCCCAAGAGAAAGTTGTTTAAACCTAATTTGTGCAATAAAACATATATCCCTAATTTTTTTTATATATACATATATAAATTTGGGCAAAAATGTGCATCAAACTACACAATTTAGGAGCATTTAGGAGAAACAAATGCTTCAGTAATTGACCTGCCAATCATTAATCAAAGCTGATCGAGGGAAAATTGACTGATGGGTGCATCTCTACATCTCGGCAATTTAAGTTGAACTTTTCATGTGTTTAACATAAGAATCTAGATTAATTTATTAAACACAAATGTTTTACTTTAAGTCACTGTAGCAGTAGTTAGCATAGTTGTTTATCTGATTTGTAGCATTATAAATTTTTTTTTTTTTTTGTCTTTTTCAGTTTAACTGTGTTTTTATTTCACATTTATGTTAAATCCACTGCACATTTAGTACATTTACTAGCTAGCTTGTACACTGTTTTTATGTGCAAACCTCTGTCCCAGTATTGAGACTTCTTTTGTGGTGGTAAAAGTAAGACATAAGAGGTAAAGTAAGACATACTGATTTCCTCTTGCTTTTCCTTTATTGTTTCTCAGTTTTAACTTTATTCTGAGCATTTCTTGTAATCGTTTTATTTCTGTCCCTTTGAAAGGTTAAGTCCTTGTGTAAACAATAAATTGGAGAAAAACTATTGGTGGTTTTTATTTAAAATACCCACACTCTTTCTGTTTTTAAATCGTCCGTCATCAAAAACACCCTATGTCCAATTAGATGAATTCAAGCCCAGGAGTCTGAATTTGTTTCATTGTGATTACAAAGCTGGAACACAACAAAATGCACAAATGCTAAATAGCTGAGCCTTACATTAATGCAATCCCAAAATCTGGCAGTGAAGTGGAAAGCGTGACTACATAATCAGGGCTGCTATGTTGCACCATGGCACTGCCAGTTTGGAATTTGAGTCCCTTATTTTTCATGTTTTTGCTGCTTCTATCCAATATGTTTGTGTATGCAAACTGTTATGACTCATGATTGGTGTGGCAAATTCTCAGATTTACACCATAGCTTAGTATGAAAATATTACACAGCAGACATCATCTTTAAATATGTGCAAGATTTTGAGATGTATGATTGAAAAATTTAAAGCAGAATCCAATTAAAGAGCATACTAAAAGTTTGAATGTGGTAATGGTGGACATGAATCTTAAATCTTCTTATTAGCTTTAATGATGCAGCTTTTGAAGTGGTAAAAAATCTAAACTTTCTGGCATAACTGTGGCTATGCCAATCTCATCAATGCAGAGTACTTAAATTTGAAAGCTTAAAGCTTACCAATTTAGAAAAAGATCTTCCTTTTTTGGTCCATATCTTCTAAGTACCTTGCGATGTGATTCATATTTTATTTTGACTTTGACTCATTTTCCAGGTCAAGGCAGGCTGACATTTTTTCTTTGTTGTTTCTGATCCTTTTCTATGATTTTTTTTATTATTTTCTATTCAGTTTGAATCAAGTTGCTAGGGCTTGGGATCTTTGCAAATATGATTTTGGAAAAGTATGAAATTTTGACATGTAAATTTCATGTCTTGCGGTTCCTGTGTAGGAACCTTGCAGGAATATTAGATTTATTGTATTCTTTTGTACTTTTGTTGCTTTTGTTCAATAGATCTAGAAACAATTCTCAATCTATTGCTTTAGGAATATTTATATGTTGTCATAACATGATGTCTGAATACGAACTTCTATTTCTGCTGAAATCTTTGCAGTCCTATGCTCAAAAACTGTTGCTTCAAATTAAGGTCTTGCCATTTTTAAATGCCTGTTTTAAATTAATAGCAGGTTTTTATTGATTTGAGCTGACATAAGTGACATTAAGGTCAGTAAGAGTCATTATTCACTATTGATGGAAAGCCATCCCTTTATATGAGAGGTGTGTAGGCAACATTTATCATTTGTTTGCTTTTTTGTGTGGGGGGGAGGGGTTAGTATAGGGGTTGCTATTACTTATCTGCCTTGTTTGCACTTCTGTTTATTCTTGTTGATCTCATGGTTGCTTTCCTTTTTTTAGATTTCATATTGATTTGGCTGCTTCTGAACTCAGTGCTTTCTATCTAAATACATCTGAGTGTTTTCTTGGACAGCAACCAAATGCGTATGTATTAAAACTTGAAACTGATCGAAGACCATTATATTGTTCTAAGATTGTCCTGAATTAATAAGAAAAAAGCCAGCACCTCGAGAGGGTTGACATAATAATTTGGTGTAACTTCTGAACTTTTGATGCATTATTTAAATGCCAGAATTTGAAAAGTGCAACCACACAGATCTTGCAACCCTGCCAATTAAATCCATTATCTATATATACTTTTCAGATTCTGGCAACACTGGAACAAGTTTCATATGTGACATGTATGCAAATTTTGTGCAGTTTCATATTAACTATGGAGATTTCTCAAGAACGTAAAGATGAAAAATCAGAGCATGGGGATTTATGGAAATTTAGTGCATTGTTAGAAAAGAAAATAACTATGAAGGCTACTGTCAGTCTTATCTTATTACATTTTTGTTTAATAAAATTTGTCTAAGTTAATCAGAAAATAGTTTGGACTATCTCGCCACTGGTGCCATTTTTTTGTATGTCGTGCTATTGTGCATCTTGTGGACCATGAGTCTGTTGAATAAAGTAATCAAGCGTTTCTCATGCTGATGCGAGTGAATTTTCAGCCCTGCAAAAAAGCATCTTTGTAGCACATCATGGAGTTTAAAGAACCTTTTATTTGGGTATTGTTGTAACACAGTTGCAGTGGTGCCAAGTAACAATGCTCATACCACCATCATCAGCATGTTCAAAAAGTCGTTAGAAATAAATCAACACCAGGATGTCATTTACTTAAAGTTGTGCATATTTTCAAAAGTCAGTTCTTTTCTTAAGACATTTCTTCAGATTCATAATAATATGACCGGCTTAGTAATTTTATACTTGAACTACAAAACCAAAAAATATTTTTTTCTCTAAAAATAATTATGCTGGCATGGAGGTGCTTTATATTGTCATTATTGGTTTAAATGCTGAGTAATTCGTTATACAACTGGACTGGATCATCACTGTTTGTACATCCCGTGAAAAGTGACGGGAATGGAGCACTCCACTTCTGCTCTTGCGATCTCTGACAGATCCTTGGCATTTAGAATGAGCATATATGCTGGTCTCTGGGAACCAGGAGCTGCCACAATGGTAAGAATGACACCTGTGGAGACAGCAGATCTGAAACTTGCTTAACAATACCCCAGTATGCATCTTTTGTGTGTAAATCAGCTTTAATATTAGTTTATTTTAATTTAATACCATCTAACTTACCATCATCTTCGTCTACCCCATCTGGAGTCTGAACAAACAAGGGCTCTGAGGGATATGACTCTGGCTCTTGCCAAACCCAAGTCTCCTTGGTCTTCACATTCAGCTTGCAGATCTACATATAAATTAGAAAAAGAAGTTAACATGAGTACATTTTAAGTCTGTCTCTTAAAATGAGAGAGACTTTTTAAACTCTCTAAGTTCAAAAAGTTTAATATGTTACTCTGTCTGGTATGAAATGGTTGAGTCCCAGGCCATAGGCATATGTGTAATTCTTTCCTCCATATCTCTGGTAGTTAATCTGTGGAAACTCGAAGGCTTAAACCCAAGAAAAGAGAAGTTTTAGACCAAAATGAGATTACTAATATTTGCCAAAAAATGCATGTATCCCAAACTATGTGTTGGTACCTTGGCGAGGTCCAGAGAAAAGTACTTCAGGCTCCAGCCAGATCATCCCATCAGCATGCATGACTGCAGTGGCTGTGGTATATGGCAGACTCACAAGATTCTTCCCCTGCTCCTCCTAGATAAAGTCCATAACATGGTTGGTGAGAACTAAAAACATATAACCTTTTACTAAGTGGAAGAAATGTATGGATTTATGATGCCTCACCTTGTGGACATCCAGAGGGATGACATATCGCCGCACCTCTGGCTGGGGCGCCATCATGGCTGCCTTCTTCACCTCTTCCCAGTTGGCTCTCAGATTGGCCAGCCACAAGTAGTTGTAAACAAACTCAAATCTAAAAGAACAAGAGATTTATGCTTACTGGCTACTATTTATTACAAATTGCTAGAGCCAAGTTTTTACCACTTTGCAGAGAATATTATTTTATTTTGCTAAAAAAAAAAAAACAACAACAACAAACCCCTTTAATTTTAGATGTCATAGACTCAACAGGGTGCTGGAAACAATTCCCAGAGATTCTGGTTCATATTAACTTATAAGCTACACTTTTGTGATGTTTGTTTCCTGTTTCAACATAACCCAAACATCTTCTCTTGATTTGCAAACCAGTGACAGTGGAGGAGATTGGAGTACAGTGAGCTCATTATCATTTACAAGAGTGGGAATTGTAAGCCACAATAAATATTGTCATAATTTATGCTTAGATGTTACTAAGTGAATCCAAGTCTATTCTGGTTTTCTGTTGTTCTAGCCAACAATAGACAACACAAGACATGTTGCCACCCACATGTAGAACCTGTTTGAAGGTCTCAAATGTGTTTTCAGAAATGGTATTTTGGATATGTTGATTGCAAGTGACCATAGTACATGTCTGCTTCAAACACATTTTTGAGACATTCAGGTTAAGCAAAAATTGCTAATTCTATGTCGCTACCCTTTCCATGAGCAAAGGTCAACAACAATGAATCCTTGATCCTCATAGGTGTTGATGTGGTGGAACATGCCAATCGGTGCTCCTTTAAACTTCAGGTCAATGTACTCTCCAGGGTCTTTCTTGGCAACGTGGAAAATGGTCTAGGAAGGTTAAATTACAATAGGTTAGACATTTGGCCTGAGAACAAATGATAAAATGCAGACTGATGTTTTAATTTCATTAAAAATCGTACTCCTTGGCTTTCATTAGACTCGAAGCAGTCCATGTAGTTGGAACCTCGGATGCTCCAGGCACTGAGGAACTTCAGCAAGTTGATCTTCACTGGAGTCTCAACGAAGACAAAGTAGTTTTCTGACATGCCAAAGCTGTGATGGAGGGAAGTACATTTTAACAACTTGGACTTCACACAACATTGTTGAGAACAAGCAAAGAAAAAAAAAATTACACAAAACTACACCCACCTGTGCACATAAGATGGCTTGAACCTCTCAGCACTGGGAAACTGAACCACCACTTTGGACTTCTCAATAGGGTCTGACTTATCTAAGGAATGAAAGCTGCTTTGAAGTGCAGGCGAAAAAAAACTCTTGTTTTACTTATAAAAAGACAGGAGAACCTCACAAGAGGCATAAGCAGAACATCAATATAATAATAATAATAATAATAATAATAATAATAATAATAATAATAATAATAATAATAATAATAATAATAATAATAATAATAATAATAATAATAATTTCATTGTTAAGTTTGTCCCAAAGATCTGATTATGTCACTGGGAATATGCGGGTCCAGGATCCTTTTCCAGCGTCCCATTCAGCTTGCAATGAATTCCATGCAGGGGTAAACATGGAGCCCAGGTTTTGAATTTGTTTTAATGCTGTTCATCCAAACCTTTCTGTGTGGGAGGAATCCTCACAATGTTGTAGGCCAGTGTTGCACCTTTTCCCATGCAGTTTCCAATGTTGTATACAGTACCATCTTGCTCAATA